TGCTTTTTTCGTGGACACGTTTAATATATTACTTTTGTCCTGTCACTCCTGCTCCTAACGTATTTTCTACTGTTCCGCACTATCAGCAGTAGGTGATGAAGATGTCAACGCGGTGACTGGACATTGTCGAGGTTATTCTCTAAAGCCGTGATATAACTTTCCTAATGAGTTTGCTAATATGACCCATATTTAGCACAGATGTCCCATGTAAAGCAGAATCAAATTCTGTCGGAAACGGATCGAACTGAGGCTCATTGCGTCCTTGGCGGACAGCCAGTTGTTGAATAAGCTTCCTCGCCCATCTTTTACACCATCCTCGATAACCCGACATGTGATGTCAACACATTCAGATTCACATTAGTAGGATCTCCGTCTGGAACTAAGTCGAATCTCGGCGCATCTCCCAGTATCTCGCGGTGTTCACATTACGGAACCTCGGCTGAGTGCGACAGAGCACCATCTGCCCACTGTCGGCTCAGTTAAATGTCGGTCAGACTCTGACCTTGACCGGAATTCAGTCGGAACGAAACTGGCCACGTCACGGAACACACGTCTGGAGCCCAGTGGTAGAGCGGCCGGAATGCAGCAGCGACAGACGCGTGTAATCACGGAAACACACGTCTGGAGCCCGGCGGTAGAGCGGCTGGATTGTGCCCGCCCGACAGACACGTGTAATCACGGAACACACGTCTTGAGCCCGGCGGTAGAGCTGCCGGATTGTCTCAGCGACAGACACGGGCAGATATGCCACGGAACACGCGTCTGGAGACCGGCGGTAGAGCGGCTGGATTGTCTCAGCGACAGATGCGTGTACTGATGGAGGCGAAATGCCCGTGCGATTAGGGGGGATGCTGTGTGTCAAAAGCCTTCCTGGGCTAAGTTGTATTTTGCACGTTTGCTTTAGTTATGCTGCTCCTTTACATTTGCAAGTATTTATCAAATGATATGTCTTGCTCGGTTCTGCAGCTTGGCTTCTTGTAAAGCTCCCAATGCATCCTCACGGAGCAGGCTGAATGTGAAACTGTGAGATGGCACGTGCAGGCCAATGATAGCTCACCAGACACCACTGGCATTATATAAACAGATCAGAGCCGCATTATCAGCCCGAGCGGCACCAGGTCAAAGTCAGACCATACGGCGGTGCAGCGGCACAGACTGCACGTGGCGGGCTATCGCAGGGTTGTGTATTCGCGCCGCTATTTATGTAGCGGCCACGCGGCACCTGAATACATTTGAATGGCTGGGTGGCTGATAGTAGTGAATGGTTGGGACAGATCGACGGCGTGTTTTGTTTGTGTATAGATGCTAGGTGATATCGAACCAGCAGCTGGTGAGGTGCTGCAAAGACACACACGAAGCGCGTGCTCGGGCTGGGACCTATGCTGACATACAACTAGCACGTTCATATTTTTTTATGAAAATAAACGAGTTCAATGTGTTAAAATGTGGCTGTCGCATTCCCCTTTTGGTCGGGCATCCATTAGGTTCCGTCATGTATTAGGGAGGGTGCGATGAACGTTTTTCGTGGGCTTTATAGAATGGCGATACTTGTGTGTTGATTTCTGACAAAGCTACCATGGGTTCCACGGTGTCGCGTCGTCTGGGGATTGATCCCTGGGCTGGAAGGCAGCTATCCGACTTTGTTGGTTCAATGAACTGGCGATGGTCAGGACGTGACTGACGGGTCACACTACCAGAACTGGCCCCGAGCCAGCTGTGAGGATCTCCTCGAGTGTCGCACTACTGAACACACGCAGTTTGTAACCGCAGACATTCAGATTATTCAACACAGCCCGGCGTACACGAGAAAAACACGGCAGAATACGGGCCTGGCCTATAGGTGCTGTCCTGAGCCTCAGAATCCCAGAGCACGCCGGTGCTGTCCACCTCCCAGTTTACGTCAGACATTAGGTACATCTGAAGATGGTTGATATGCTCAGATGTGCAGCATTCCGTCCTCTCCACTGGCCCTTCCGTGGTTCTCCAAAGTCCAATTCAACATATTTTACTTCCCTCTGGTCCCCGCAATCTTCCAAACAATTCTTTCTCCACTGGGCCTCCGTGGCCCGGCAGTCCAGTCCACCCCCTTGCTGGTCCTGTCCTCGAGACCAGCATTATTTCTGCTTCCGCCCTCCATGGTCCGCTGGTCCAGCCCGCCTCCCCTCCCGCCGGTCCTCCGTGGTCCTCCATGGTCCAGCCCGCCTCCCCTCCCGCCGATCCTCCCTGGTCCAGCCTGTCCTCCCCCTCCCCGGCGGTCCTCAGTGGTCCCGTTGTACGCGATTCACCACTGGAATGCCTAATTCATTGACCATGTATCGTATCCAGGCAGGCGGTGTGCGTACAACGCGGGCCCGCGCCACACGCGCTGGATCACTGATTCTACGGAACGCGATCTGCGGATGGTTTAGCTGTTCGACGTCGTGTGTTGAGGAACAGACGGAAGTGTATGAGCTATGATGAATCGCTCTTTTTGTATTGATTTGATGGATTGCTCATCATGAACATAGTCCGCACAAATGGACGACGCTGACGGCTGGCACCTGTTTCTCAGGCGTAGACCTGTGTCGTAGCGGTGTGTGAGAGCGGCCCGCGGTGGCCTATATCGGCGTCCCGTTATATGGAAGGAAGGTGGGAGGCGATCGCGCGACGTGTGGACTCGGGGGGGGGGAGGAGGAGGGGAGATAATGGAGAGAGGGGTGGGGCGGACTGTGAACCATTGTGAGACAGGTAGAGAGGAACAGAGAGATGAGTAATTCAGCAATACAGAGAACGAAAACGAAATGACGTGCGTCATGCATGATAGTGGTGAAAAAGCTACGAAGTTTTTTTTTTGTCTTTTCGACCCAAGTAATGCCGTGATAATTATGCCATCGATCACTGATTCGTGACAAGGAATATTGCCGGAGATGCTCTTTTGCCAGTCAAATGTAGGGGAAGTGCAATGAGACTGAGAGATTGATGAATTACTCTGAGTCATTTGGCTAACCAATGCTAATGTACCTATATGTAAGCGAGCTGACGTTTACAGCTTACTCCCGCATCACCTACCGTACTGTAGGCAATAGTTGTCACTGATGTGAGCTGCTATCAGAATACTATTGTCATCACATGCTGCTCTTATGCTGGTTGCGGCTTTTCATTTGACCCACGCGAATGGCTCACTGATTGAATGGGTCACTTTGATGGGTAATCTTTACTCCAAGAGCGCGTGAATGAGACCCCTGTGAACATCTGATAGCACGTGTATTGAGTCTGATAAGGCTCCTGAAAGCTGTCTGATGTGTTCGACAAGTGATCTACTGTGGGGTGTTTGGGTACATGCTGTGTTTGGGCGAGGATAATTCCGTATGCTTCTCGGCGTTGTGACCCCGACTCCACCCCTCCCCCTCCTCAAGCATACGTCATGCACCTGTCACCGTTGGGAGCACCTATCCCCACCCATCCACACCCATGCACACTGTAAGGTATCGTATCGTATCAATTTATCTACCTACCTTCTGTCGGGCTTGTGGTCTCGATCTCGGCACAAACCGGCCGCTCTACCGTCACCGTTTCTCAGGCGTGAAGGCACGTCCCTCCCCCCTCCCCTCCCAGGCGACCCGCCGGTCAGCGGCTAACTGTTCCCCGCCGGGGGCGACACATATATGCTAACGCAGACGTGAGAGAATGCGGAGTTAAAACACACGGAGTTTGTACTAGCTTCGGCGGTAAAGCTGCTCACTTACACCACACAGCTGATTTCTAGCCACGACCAACGCCATAACCACTTGTAAAGTAGACAATTTCAAAGCGTTTCTATTGGTTTCTGAATCCCTCTCAAGTTAATTACTAAACCCTGGGTATGGTGTTGACACGCGTACGTTGATGATCCGTATTTGCGAGACATTGCAGAGATCCAGCCGCGTCACTGACCGCTAACCCTTTCTCCATTTGTCAATACAGACGTTCCTGGGTTCCTTGGGCCCCAACAGTCACTTAGGCACGTTAGTCTGGTCTCGGAGATTGACTAACTGTCCCTCTCTATTCGCAGACTTTCCGCAGTCTGCTGGGCCCCAATAGTCATATATAGGCACGTTAGTCTGGTCTCGGAGATTGACTAACTATCCCTCTCTGTCCACAGACGTTCCGCAGTCTGTTGGGCCCCAATAGTCACCTAGGCACGTTAGTCTGGTCTCGGAGATTGACTAACTATCCCTCTCTGTCCACAGACGTTCCGCAGTCTGTTGGGTCCCAATAGTCACCTAGGCACGCTAGTCTGGTCTCGAAGATTGACTAACCATCCCTCTCTGTTTACAGACTTTCCGCAGACTGCTGGGCCCCAATAGTCACCTAGGCACGTTAGTCTGGTCTCGAAGATTGACTAACCATCCCTCTCTGTTTACAGACTTTCCGCAGTCTGCTGGGCCCCAATAGTCACCTAGGCACGTTAGTCTGGTCTCGGAGATTGACTAACTATCCCTCTCTGTCCACAGACGTTCCGCAGTCTGTTGGGCCCCAATAGTCACCTAGGCACGTTAGTCTGGTCTCGGAGATTGACTAACTATCCCTCTCTGTTCACAGACGTTCCGCAGTCTGCTGGGCCCCAATAGTCACCTAGGCACGTTAGTCTGGTCTCGGAGATTGACTAACTATCCCTCTCTGTCCACAGACGTTCCGCAGTCTGTTGGGCCCCAATAGTCACCTAGGCACGTTAGTCTGGTCTCGGAGATTGACTAACTATCCCTCTCTGTTCACAGACGTTCCGCAGTCTGCTGGGCCCCAATAGTCACCTAGGCACGTTAGTCTGGTCTCGGAGATTGACTAACTATCCCTCTCTGTCCACAGACGTTCCGCAGTCTGTTGGGCCCCAATAGTCACCTAGGCACGTTAGTCTGGTCTCGGAGATTGACTAACTATCCCTCTCTGTTCACAGACGTTCCGCAGTCTGCTGGGCCCCAATAGTCACCTAGGCACGTTAGTCTGGTCTCGGAGATTGACTAACTGTCCCTCTCTGTTCACAGACGTTCCGCAGTCTGTTGGGCCCCAACAGTCACATTGGCACGTTCGCCAGTGGCTCGCTGGCCGGGGTGACTGCGGTGTTCTTCACATATCCGCTGGATACCATCCGAGCCAGGCTGGCCTTCCAGGTCACAGGGGAACACAAGTACACCGGCATACTGCACGTGGCCAGCTCTATAGTGAAGGAGGTGAGTACCGAGTACTGCACAAGTACACCGGCATACTGCGCGTGGTCAGCTCTATAGTGAAGGAGGTGTCAGTTCCTAGTACTCTTGTGGTACTGTCTACCGCCCAAGAGGCATTGCATTACTTGCATTCATTGACTTATTACTTAGTTCATTCATTCCCTCACTCTCCCCACTATTCATTCATTGAACTTTGGCCTACTGGTAAAGTAAATGAGATTCAATAAGTTGATCAAGCAATTGTTAGCTTCACTGATCTCCGTATTGATTGATCGAACCTTTTGACTGCTGGTCTGACTGTATGTCTGTCTCCCTGCCATCAGGAGGGCGGCCCGCGCGCGCTGTACCGCGGGTTCGCGGCCACCATGTGCGGTATGGTCCCGTACGCCGGCCTCAGTTTCTACATCTTCGAGCGGATGAAGTACCTGTGTATGCGCTACCTGCCCACATACACGTGCAACCCGTGTAAGGAGAACACCGGTGAGTCATGGTACACGTGTAACCCGTGTAAGGAGAACACCGGTGAGTGGTGCACGTGTAACCCGTGTAAGGAGAAAACCGGTGAGTGGTGCACGTGTAACCCGTGTAAGGAGAACACCGGTGAGTGGTGCACGTGTAACCCGTGTAAGGAGAACACCGGTGAGTGGTGCACGTGTAACCCGTGTAAGGAGAACACCGGTGAGTGGTGCACGTGTAACCCGTGTAAGGAGAACACCGGTGAGTCATGCTACACGTGTAACCCGTGTAAGGAGAACACCGGTGAGTGGTGCACGTGTAACCCGTGTAAGGAGAACACCGGTGAGTGGTGCACGTGTAACCCGTGTAAGGAGAACAGGTCGGTGAGTGGTGCACGTGTAACCCGTGTAAGGACAACACCGGTGAGTCATAGTACACGTGTAGCCCGTGTAAGGAGAACACCGGTGAGTGGTGCACGGCACGAGGCCGAGACACGTGGCAGAGGGCAGGGCACGGACGAGGGAGGGAGGGTGCCATTTCACTCGTGAAGCGTGCAGAACACGAGCCTGATATCATTACGCACGTGCTCTGGCGCACGTGCCTATATTGACTGATGGAATGAACAGAGGACGGATGTCTTATTGAGGCGCTCTAAGGGGATGATTTGGATGGATTCATGGTTTTGTCTATCTGTGGGGCTTATTGAGTGAGTCGCAGGACATGCAGTGTGAAATCTGATGTGCTGCAAAGATACTCAGTGCTACAGGATCGAAAGGCATGCCTTTAGTAGATCCGGCGATCGGAGCTGTAAGCGGTTGCGTCCCTCAAGTTAAGACTCGCTTACAGAGCTCTTTGAGATTGTGTTACATCTTCGAATCTCGAATCAGGCTGGCGGGATTTCATATCCGTAACGTAACCAATGATTCTAAAGTAGTTATACTTTTATTCACGACCTTGTTCAAAACAAGTGTTTTGTATTTCGAAAGGAATATTTGATAACTTCCAGCAGTCCCTGTGTCGCCACTCGACTCAATTTCTTCATCGTATCACACCGTCCAGTTCACCTCCTGACGTCTGCCCTGGTGTCAGCGCCGCTAACCTCTAGTTCCGTCTGCTCCCGGTAGGCGGCCTGGTGCTGGCCGTGCCCGCTAAGCTGCTGTGCGGCGGGATGGCGGGCGCCTGCGCGCAGAGCGTCAGCTACCCGTTCGACGTCACCCGGCGCAGGATGCAGCTGGCCTACATGTCGCCCGAGACGAGAAAATTCGGGTGAGTTGGACCGGGGTCACTCGACGGGTTGGGAGTGGGGAGTGTGAGTCTCACTCTCACCGAGTTGGGAGTGGGGAGGGTGAGTCTCACTCTCACCGAGTTGCGAGTGGGGAGGCCGGGGAGTCTCACTCTCACCGAGTTGGGAGTGGGGAGGGCAAGTCACACTCTGGGACACTCACTGAGTTGGGAGTGTGGTGGGGCGGGAGGGTGAGTCTCACTCTCACCGAGTTAGGAGTGTGGTGAGGCGGGAGGGTGAGCTGTGCTCAGAAACTCGCCAACTCTGTTAGATGGAGTGCGGTGAGTTGGGAGGGGCTAGTGAGGCGTGGTTAGGAGAGGCGTAAGGGGATCGAGTTTTGGTGTACTGTAAGTGGGCATTTATCTGTAATGATGTGTGGGTTAGTTCGGAAGGATTAGCCTTAATGTTTGCTGACAGGGAGAGTCTATTATCGTTGCAAAAGGTGTTTGTTTTTAGGTCCGATTAGAGTAACTCTTCAACGGATCATAACCAGGTGGCTGATGAACAGCTTTTGAATTGTGAGACAAACTGTGAAAAGGTATTCACCAGAGGAAACAACGATTTGGTGTCAGAACGGCG